GCTGGAAAGGTACGTGGGGAAATCATTCACTCCTCTCCTGCCAGACTCCTGCCATCCTCACCTCTCCTGTCTTGACCCTTCTCTGTCTATCTAACAAAACCCTGCCCCTAACCCCCCAACCCAGGAAACCAGACCCCTTGAGATGACGGATGCATTGTACATGAGCAGTCTCAGCTTTAGCTTTTACATAAGCCGTTTTACGTAAGCAATCTCTCTCTTTTTTCAGCTGTTATACAATGTTTTTCCAGTTCAATATTTTATAGGTGTACAACTTTTTTGATAACATTTACAATAATCAGCCGTGCCCTTTAGATTTTAATGAAAACATCTTAAAAATAATGTCCTTCTCCCATCCCAATAAAATCTGTAACTCATTAAAAATGAGGACTCTCTAGGAGTCCTTAGGCCAATGAAAGAAAGAGTGAAGAGGTGAATGAATCTTGGAAGCTTGTATCAGATCACAGGGTGTGTGTGGCTGCCCCTCTCCCCCCTCCTCTGACAGGCTGCAGCTTCCGTTGAGGCCAAGGAGCTGTCACCAAAGTGTACAATTGCCTCATTACAAGGGAGAAGCTCTGTGCACTGGGAAACTTCCTAGCCCCCTGGGGCAGCAAGACCCAGGATAACAGCATGCAAAGCACCCCCTGCTGGCTTTTATTGTATGCTAATGTAATGGGGCCATCAGTCTAAAGGCTGTCTGTGCATAAAAACAGGATTTCTTTTTGTCTAGTTGGAGCAGTTGTTGGAAATTCCATCAAGTAGGAATGAGGGAGAGTATTGCAGGAGGCAGAGAAGGAGGGGGAGGACACAAAATAGGAAGGAAGGATGAGTGACAGTGAGTAAAACAAAGAGGGAGAATGAGAGAAATGCAGGAGGTTCTCTGTTTCAATGAAGTAAATGTAAGTTAAACAAAATGCAGGGTAATGAACCAGTTCTGGAGCAGTACTGGACCAGACTGGAGCCCAGTTTCACTCTGTAAAATATATCAATATATTCCTCCCTGCAGAACACCAAAAAGATTCATGGGGCCCAGGCTGCACACAGCAGGAAAGTCCCAGCTCTTTCATGGAGTCATCCATTTCCCAGAAGGAGTTTGCATACACTAATAACAAATATGAGGAAAAGCCAAGAGGGGAATAGGACACAAGATCAGTGGAACTGATCCCTGACAGATGTTGGACACTGTGTTAGAACTTCAATTCTGAGCACTAGGTTTGCAAAAGGATCATACCCAATCCAGTTGCTGAGTTCCCAATGTGGATAAGGCCACTAGTGAATTCATTCTGACCATTAACCAGCAATATGAATGATCTTGCTCTTAGGAAGAGTGCATTAGAAAGCGGATGACCACCATCCCCCTAGCCCAGCCCTGGAAGGAGTCGTCTCCCTTAGGGGCTAGCCTGGGCTTGTCCTTGGTGGCAAATGGACTTTTAGAATCCAAAATCAGGAGCCAGGCCCTGACTACCTTGGTTCAAAGGCCTGGATCAATCTTATATGTTCTTTGGCATAGCATAATGAATGTGACACAATCATGATTTCATTCCCACTTCTGTAGTGCTGCCTTGCAAATGTGCTATATTAATATGCCAGCAATAATATTTCTGTGAATTTCCTTTGTCCTCCTGTGTCCTACTGAAGCCTCTTCTCCTCGGTCAACACTTGGGTACCATTTATCCTCAAGTGCATGGCCGCTCTCATCAGCAAGTTGTCTTTGTCTGAATCTTTTCCAGTTTAATATTTAGTAAATGTTTTGCTTAAATTACATTTGAAATTTGGGGCCCCTAATGTACCCTAAAATAACATACCGCCAGTTTTACTCCTGGTGATATTGCAACGACCCTTACTTTTTCCCCAGCTCATTCTCAGCGGAGGGTCCATAGGACTCACCACACCAACTTGCTCCTGGGATAGGCTCCAGCGCTGAGGACAGCCGATGCTTGTCAAATTCCCTTTTATCAACAGTGTGCTAATTCTCTACCATTGGCTAAATTAACAATACTATCAATATATTGATACTATTAATTTAACTTATGCCCCCGGGGGATGATCTATAATATTCCTCATCATAAAACGAAAACAATGTGTCTAAAGTAAACCAGAGAGATATGATTGGGTTTATGGATCCTAATTAATTTTAGCCCCAATCTGAGAACATTCTGTTGTTAATGACATGGCCCTATTAAATAATCATCCCCTTGAAGAGACCACGGAAGGTCAAGGTGTTATTGCAAAAAGTCTGCTGAAGAAGCCAGATGATGCCTGAGTAGCAGAAAGAATAGCATCTGTAGCCTCAAAGGCTTTTCTTAAAATAAGCCGCTATCTAAGTAAGGTGTCCACTAAATCCACATGGAAGAAGCTCACCGGCCTGTGTGATCCAAGGATTGTAAATCATGAAACAGAAGCTTTAAGGGAGCGTCATGACTACTTTTGTATAGCTAACCTATAACTCTGAGCTGTGCTAGGAACTTAACAACACTAAAGGATTCAATATATCTCTGGTTTAATCATTGCATCTGATAATACAGAATTATAATTTTAACAGGACTCCATGCAATCCTTAAATGTTCCATCTATCATAAAAATCATTGTCCTACTTCCTAGCCTTTGCCATAACTGAAGAGTGCTCGGGGGAATCGAGCCCTTCCATGCTGAAGCTTCCCTTCTGCAGCTAAAGAGCAGCAAGTCCATTTTGAGGCAGGAACAGAGCTGGGACATGGGTTCCTCTCCAAGGTGGTTCAGAATTATGACCTAGATGAACCACCTCCCCAACACCTTCTTCTCTGATCAAAAATTGATCCAATGA